GGTTTCCAATATTTCCTCTGGGTCTCTGGTATTTCCTCTGGGTCGCCGTTATTTCCTCTGCCTTGCCGTGACACCTGCAGGAGGAGGGAAGCACAAGTTATTTGCAGCTATCAAACAGTGCGGTTTGTGTGTGTGCATCTAATGGCCAGGGTGCTACCAGGGAAACCAGTTTCATGCTCCTCAGATAACCTAAAACCAGGTAGAGCTGCCTCTTTATGTACTTGATAAAAGCCTCAATTTCCAGAGCTGATCCAGATGCCAAGGGTTTGGGCTGTTTTGCTCTGGAGCTCAGTCCAACACCACGAGTGCTGCATTTCCCAGCCAGATCACAGGAAGATGCTGAGCAGCTGAACCTCCTAAATCCGGGGTCAGCAGGGCTGTGGGACACGAGATGCACCCCCATCTCCAAGAGCCCATCCAGCCACAACCAAACACCACTTCCAGTAATGGATGTGAAGGCAAAGAGCACAGGGCTGAGCCATTGGCGTGGGCCTCCTCACCCCTCTGTGGTCCCTGAGCACTGACCCATGCTCCTGGGTTGGCTTGGCTTGGTTTGGTTTGTTCTTTTATTTCCTAGGACATAAATCAAGCAGACTTGTGAGCAGGGAAACTGCCCAAGCCAGGTTGATTTGTACTTGTTTTGTACTTCTGTTTCCCCAACCCTTCCAAGTGGCACAGAGAGAGGGGAGGAGAGGGAAAGGAGCTGCACAGATGTGAACATCTGTATGCTGTGATAGATGTGAACATGTCACGATGCAGATGTGAACATCTGTGTGTTGTGACAGATGTGAACACCCATCTGCTGTGACTCCCAGGCTCTCATGCAAGGGGATCACGGGAGCAGCTCCCCAGGAGATGTGAATGTGTGTCACGATGCAGATGTGAACACCTGTGTGTTGTGACAGACGTGAACACCTGTATGTTGTGATAGATGTGAACACCCATCTGCTGTGACTCCCAGGCTCTCATGCAAGGGGATCACGGGAGCAGCTCCCCAGGCCGGGTGTTTGCGCCATCTCCCCTGGGTGCGGCTGTCAGCTCCGGTGCCGTGGTTCTTCTGGCTCTCCCCAGGCTCGGCTGGAGATGGGCTCAGGGGTTGCACCAACGCGGTGCGACCATTTGTGCCACAGGAAAAACTGCTCAACCGTTTCTCTCAGGAGATAATGTGGGATACCCCTCTTTGGGTGTCAAAGCTGACATTTAAAGGACATTAATACAGAAGTTGCTGCCTAATGAGGTAGAACCAAGGTGAGGCAAGAGCTCATCAGCCGATTACAAGTCTGTCACTGCTCTATCATTTCACTTTTGTCTGGGTCTCTGTTTTTAAAAAAACACAGTTTTTTTGAGCTGCATGCTGGAATCCCTGTGCTATAAACACACATCATCTGGTTTATGCTTATCTGTCGGTCTCAGCTGCCATCCCCGTGCTGGTCCTGACGCTCGGTGTGCCTGTGCCTCGCTGCTGCTGCGTTCTGCCACAAACCTTCCGCAGCATTTTTAGACCAACGGAGCTGCCTCCCTTTCCTGCTCCCTGCAACCCCGTTCACGGCCAGGGCGGGAGGACGGGGGTGGCCAGGGCTGTAACCCCCAATTCACAGCTCAAGTGCTGCTGGCAGCGATGGGTGCAGAACAGAGGGGACCCCGAGTGAACCCCAGAGCCTGCGCTGCCCCGGGCTCCCCCTCGGCTCTGGGGGTGCAAACGGCTCCTCGCAATGACAGAGATTTGGGAACAGGAGAGGCGTCAGCACGGACAGGACAAGGCGAAACCACGCAATTTCAGTACAGGGCATCCAAAGTGTTTCTGTCTCTTGCTTTTCTTTCCCGTTGCTGTAAAAGCAGGCAAACTTTTGCAAATGGAAGTCTCACCCCAAAACTCCAAGTTTTTTTTAAGGGGTGAGTCCATTGTCAGCATCAGTGAAGGATGCCAGGCACTTGGTACACAGTTTCACCAGAAATTAGGAATATCTGTACTATTATTTTTCAGGGGATGAAAGCCAAATTACCCCAGAAAGCTGCATGGTTTGTTCGCTCCATGAGCCTGAACTTCGCTCTCTGCAGGAGGCAGGTACTGAAATTGCATTTTCACCATTTTTGAGGAAATAACGGGACCAAAGCAAGGGCTGTGTTCATCACATGGAGCTGGATTTGCTTGGTTAGGATAATGAAATAATGACTTAATTACCGGGAGAGGCGTTTGGGTGCTGGCACAGAGGACAGGCGTGGGCTGTGACCCTGCATCGAGGGGGCTGAGCACCGGCCCCGCTCAACACAGGACCGAGCCCTGGAGCGCAGTCAAAATCAGTCATGATTTGTTTCACACGAGTTTGTGATTAGACAGAGACAAAAGCTCAGCCCCGACCCGACCGGGTCGGCGAGGCCCCAGCGCTGCGGTTAGTCCACAAAACCCCTGCGCGGTTACCTACCTCAGTGCACCACACAACCTTTTTTGGTTTTATTATCTCCGCTGTCAGCCTCAACCTCTGCTTTCAAACAAAAGAGAGACACCAAAGGGTTCTGGTCACGGCAGGCAAAGGTGACGGTGGTTACGGGTAACAGGGAGTGGTTTATGATTAAAACACTGTCTGGTAGCAGAGCAGGCCCCAAAACGCACCCCTGGATCCCAGGGAGCCCCTGGGCTCAGCTCAGCCAGAAACACTCAATTTCGGGTGTCAGGAAGCATCGCCCGGGCTGGGAGCGCCGCAAGGGCAAGCCCCTCTGCAGCAGATGCTCAACCCATGCCATGTCTGTCTGCAGGGAGTACCCAAACCCTCCTTTCCTGCCTCCCTCACCTTCCTTGGAAGGAAAAGCATTAAACATTGATAGAAACAGATTTCCACCGCTTTCCTTCCCCAGGGTCCTGCAGAAAAGGGGCTGTGGACTTCTGCATCCCCCCAAAGGCCGACAGAGCCATGGTCTGACCTAAGAGCCACCCGGGTTGGGGTTAATGCACCCGCCAAGGGGGTTCGGCTCAGTGGGGTCTGGGGGACGTGGAGGCGCCTCCCTGGTCTGTGGGTGCTCGCCGTGGGGCACAGCTCTGGGTGAATCCTGGCCTCATTGGGGCATCCCGGTGTGGGGGACCCGGCCAACCACCCTCACAAACCTCTAGAGCTGAGGCTTGGCTGTAGCCAAAGCGTCCACAGCACAACCAGCCACAACGTGCCCTCACAACAGCGTTTGGGAGAGGAACCCCCCCTCCCCGTCACTGGTTTTAAGTGTTTGTGAGTAGCTGGGAGGGGTGGTTGCTGATTAAGCACCCGGCATTAACTGCTCTTGATCGCTGCTGTGGAGTCTGACAGCTCCTGCTTGCACACAGCCGTGCCTTTAGCACGCCCGACAGATGTGCTTACTGCCATCTTTACTGCATATATGTGCAATGGGCTTTTTAATTACTGAATCATCATTACCCCTTTACAAACCACTTATAAGTGTCAGGAGAATGAACAATGCTGGTGGTTTTCTTTTTAAATCTCTTTCGGGTTTAAAAAACCAACAGCCTCACAAAACACCGCGGTTCGAGGGGCAGGGGCACTGGAGCTGGAGGTGAGGAACAGATAAATACACAAACACGGGGAAGCCTCCCCCGTTAACCCAGGGCTGTGTAGGGACCAGGCTACCTGAGGAGCTCTTGCTGTGCCTCTTCTTCTTCCGCCGCTTCCCGGATGGCCTCTGCTTCTCCCTCTCGCCGTGCGCCTGCCCCGGGGGAAGCGTTGCGGAGCAGGAGGAGTCGGTGGCCGGCTCCTCTGAGAACGACTTCTCCTGGGAGGTGTCCAGCAGCGAGTCCGGGCCCGGGGCTTCGTTCTCCCTTGC